ATGTGTGAGGCTGACGAAACGACCGCGGAAAGGTGGGAATCCGGAGGCAAAAGCGGCTCCCTCGCCCTGACCAACAAATTGAAGTGAGAGATGGCGAATGCGGTCTGCGTGGTCGAAGATGCTTTTAACCAGCCGAAGAGGAAGTGGCCCATCGTCAGTGGTGCTTTCACTAGATGGCATCATGAACGAGAAACAGTGGTTGAAAGAGAAGCTCAAATCGGAGAATTGGAGAGTGATTGAAAGAGGATGGGACTTGGAGCGCTCAAGATGAGCTTGAACGCAATCCAATGTTGCGGAGGGATATGGGAAGTTGGATATCTCTACGAATATAGAAGCCCAGAGCGCCGGTGTGCCTAATGCCAGATTCTTCCAGTAGCGACATACACTACTTAGATGAAATCCAGTAGAGCTTGTACGCAAAGCGGGGAATCGTTTGTTTGAAGAGAGGAAATGTGTCTCTGATAAAACGTTATAGGAACGTTTTACATCGGCGAGAACGAATATGCCTGAAAGGATCTCCGGCGGAAGTGAATTGATTCCTAGAATTGGTGCAATCATTTCTTCGTGTATAAGGCCCTGATACTAGTTACTGAATAAGTCGAGAATAGAGATGAGAAAAAGTGTACCTTCGGGAGCATTCAGCGAATCGGTTAGTGGTTTCAGTTTAAGGGTTATCTGTCACAATGTCACATTGAAATTGAGTCTTGTGACCAAGTGCCTAGCGGGCGGCAATTTCAAATTGTCTAGCCGCGTGACTCGACCTAACCCCACTAGTGATGCAAGCAAGATTTGAGAACGTCCTTTGTCAATCCTTTGTTCAGAACACTTACTCGACCAAGGACTCCTGCATATCACTCGAGCCACTCCTAGATCTTTATATTTCAACTGTAATGTTTGCACAGCGATTATCTGGCCCAAAAACAGCGAGAAAAACTTGCCAAGCGATGGAAGTCAATTTTGCATTCTTGGTATGTCCTTCATCCATCCTTGGTGGCCTTTGCTGACTCCTCGAGAACATCGTCACATCCTCGAAAAGCAGAAGCCTCAACCTCGACAGCAGGACATGCTGAACAGTAGGGCTATGGTACGTCTTCCTTCCCTACGTCTCGCGATCAATGACGTGCATACAGCTCGCCAACGACTCGGAGGCGAAATGTCACTGCCCCTTCTTCAATACTACGTCAATACATTACTGAACATCCCCATTCGTTCTTTCACTTTCATCTGCACCGGTTTATCTCCAATGCTAGCATTCTCATGACTCCATTAAAAGCCTACGTCTGGTACCTTCGTGTTTTGACCTCACTTGGCACGCCATGGTATCACCCATATTTATCAGCTGTGCACTCAGCGTGGCACGGCCTCCTCTCTAAGGAATCTTGTATGATACAGATGCTACACGAATTGAGGATAGAATAGGGAAGGAATGCCCGATGGGAGGTGCTTATCTTCTCACCTACGGTACTTCCTGCCTCCTATGATCTCCAGCTACTGGTACTAAGTTTCAACACTCAGATGTTCATGAGCCCTTTTCTATCTCACATATTCTTCGGACCACACGACATCCCTTCGGATGCTTCTGTCCACTCCTGATATCGTGTTCCTTGTAGCAGGAGCATTTGACAGCGACGGAGATCCGGATACAGTAGACGAATTGATTGTGAGGAGCGCTAATGCAAGAACCTTTTCCCCCTCAAAGATAACAGCTATTCACACCTCTCAGTCACACTATCACACTTTACACGCTCCGAGCCGAGCCATTCACACCGTAAATGGAAAATATTCCGCTATCGCTGAAAAGAGGTGCGATACACCAGGATTCTTCTCAGCGAAACTGCCTAATAAAGAAATTCTCCCAGTTGAAGAATGGATCATCAACAGCAAACTGAGTTCTTGGTTGAAATATTTTGTGTCTCTCCGTCATTCCTTCGAGTGGAATATTTTCCATTTACGGAGTGATTAGATCACCGATTCGAAGACCTGATTTCAACGTTCCTGACATTTTGCGCCTCCTTGCCTTGGGGTTAATAAGCACGCTCATCGGCGCCGTACCTGTTCTCTACCAATGGCCTATCCATCGCAAAGACAATTGGGTGCAGAATATGGAGCAAAAAGTATTGGAGCGGTTGCGGTTTCCAAGGCATACATATCATTTCCCCGAGTTATGATAATCCCTTCTTCCCAATCACATTACTTAGTTTCATTCCCCTCGCCCCTTGACGTAACGTTAGAGATTTTACGTTCTTGCCTCGTGTCAAAATGAGCACACCTTTTCCTCGCTCCCAGAAGCGGGGAATACTTACTCCTTGACGGCTTAGTTCAACGCCGCACCACAAACAGCGAGTGGAAAACAGCGAGAGACCTATCGACGCTGTATCCTGTACCGCGATTCTGTTTGGGTCCCACCCGAGCCATGTGATCCGTCTCCATAGATAGCTCCGATGTATCGCAGCGTATCTTCATCTCATACCATCACTTTGATCGCTTGCCATAGCCCCCTCGGCCCTCTCCATCTAGTGACGAGAGTGTGAGTTGAGCACGCTGCTCGGACATTTTCAGCCTCAGTCCTCTTTTGTGGTCGTCGAAGTTCCACCGTTATCAGATCGCTATCAGATTTGCTGATAATTGTTCAACGCCTTCGAAGTTACACTGTCAGCACCCCCGTTGCATATTTTCGAAGCTATGAAGTCACCAAAATCTCTGAAGACCACACGACAGACTACCTACCCACAAGAGATGACCCAACAAACCAGTATAGGCGCTACCAAAGCCACCGAACCATTGTCAGTCCAAGAGCTTTTTGACAAAGCAGCCACTGTTTATAAGAAGGATGCGAAGAGGTTTGGGGGAGCACTGCGGCGCTTTTGGGATACAGCTTTCGAGGAAGGAAAGAAGTTTGGGCTTGAGGAAGCAAGGAAGGAAGCATTTCGAGTTTCGATGGAAGCTGCTTACGGGCAGAGAGTTTTGGAACAGGGAGAAGAGTTGAAGAAGGAGTTGAGGAAGGAGTTGAGCGAGCAGATTAGGGCAGAGATAGAGTCAGAGTTGATGAAGAGCAATTCGGACAAGGCGCCGAGCGCAGTAGAGGTTCGATACAATATTTTCGCCGAGTCTCTCATATTGACTACGATACTCGCAGAAGAATAGGCCTATCGTGGATCAACAATCAGCCCTACACTTACATTTGGATCCTCGACCCTCGATCGATTATCTGCCTCCCGAGATCCTTTCCAAAATCTTCCTCCTTACAGATGTTAGAAGCGCCATTTATCTTCCTTCCCTGACTCAGATATACCCTATGAACATCGATCCCTCGTATCGTCGTTCAAACTCGACTGGATCTCATTTGGGTTGCGTATGTCGTTATTGGAGGGGAGTAACATTGAACACGCCTGCCCTTTGGTCATCTATATTCATGGATATGGACGCTCCTTCACTTAAAGCACGTAAAAACTTCGAAATGCACATCGAACGCTCCGCGACAAACTTCCTTTCCATCACACTTCTTTTTCGAACGTTTTCTTTTGGGCCGTGCCGACGGTGGATGAATCAATCAAGTAACCTGGATCTTGACCAGGTTCCAGAGGCCTGGCGCATAATGAAATGCATCATAGGTCACGCCACGCGCGTCCGAGAGTTGTCCCTCTGCTTACCGACTGCAAATGACAATGGCGATGCGTTTGCAACCTCGTTTATGCCGGCTTTCCGCCACCGCTTTGGGAATCTCGCGCACCTCGTGGTCTACACTCACCGTAACGATCCTTACGTTGTCCTAAATGCATTCACTGCATCGCCACTGCGAAGCATTGAAATCCGTGATTCCAGTACCACATATGATGCCCAAAAACATCACTTCCCCTGTTCTCGCCTTACGAACGTAGTTATCGAAGACACAAATTTGACGCTTGCTACCGAGGTCCTATCCAAATCCCTTTCACTTCGAAGCGCACGCCTCGATTTACGACAAAATACACCGCTCCCTTTCAACACTTCACAGTGCCTCCTCACGAACCTTTCAGATCTCGACCTTGAGATCACTGTTGATCGTTTCATCAGAGACATTGACGTGAGCTTTGTAAATCTCCTCGCCTTCCCCGCCTTGGTTTCCTTATCCTTCACGATGCTGAAAGCTAGGGACTCGACAGTTCTCCCAGAAAAACCAGCTTTCTCACAGGCATTTATTCGGTTTGTGAAAAGGTCTCCAAAGGTTCAGACGTTTCGCCTCGCTTGGACGTATTTCAATGATGAAGAGATGTTGATGGTACTCAAGGAGATGCAGGAGCTCACCATTTTCGAGTTTGGAGTGCATGGTTCCTTCAACGGCGGGTTATTAATAAAGGAGCTAGGAGAAGGACGAGTAGCACCAAAGTTGAAAGAGCTGAAGGTCCGGTGGTTCGCGGGAGAGATTGATTGGGAGGTATGGAAGGAGATGATTCATCGACGGTGGTTAGCGGAGCCTCCACTTAGGTCGGTGTATCTGAAGGTCGGAGCGTATTTTTCGGTCCCTGAGAGTGTTCAGAGTTGGGTACAAGATATGCAACTCAAAGGTAGAGCTGTGATGTTCGGGGGATTCCCGTAGTACATATACGAGAACAAATGAATTGATTCCTAGAGGAATTGGTGTATGTACATATGATCTCTTCGTCCATGCGAGCCCTTGAAGCGTAGTTAAATATATTGGAAAATCTGAAATACAGGGGAGTGACGATATACCTTTCGAATCATTCAGCGACCAGAGTCGTGATCGTTATAGTTCAAAGTCTGTGACATTGAATAGAGGTGCATCGGACATTGCGATCATTGCAAGTAGTACAGAGTTAAGAGTGACAAGTGACCCAAACGTCTAACGAACCAGCGTCACTTGACACTAACCTCACTAATCTAGGGTATTGAATGGCAAAATGTTACGCGAACTCTGTTGAGAACCTTGATAAACTCACAATATGACAGTGGTAAGGACTGATATCTACTTTGTTGATCATCATGCCCAGGTGTGTGATAATGATTTCCTAGCTCAGTGGTAGAGCATCGGTTTCCAAAAGGATCCCGAAGGCCACCCGTTCAATCCGGTGGGAGATCTGGTATATGGAGTGCATACTGAGTTTTTGATTTATCTTTACAGCTCCTCTCTAGACCCCCCAACTTCCTACGTCAACTGTTCTATAGTGCGCGTTCGTAAGAACGTTTTGTCCTGAAAGGATCTCTTCGACTGCTCGTGCGGCGGGGCATCAGCTGGGTTGTCGGTGTGAAAGAGATGAGGGAAGGTGAAGATCTCCTTCAACGCGTCGATATCGGACGTTGGACCTTTCATGCGGGATTCTTCGACCAGCTCCCTCTCTTTCTTCCTCCATTCCCATTTCCACGCCGCCTACACCATCGACTTCCGTACGTAGCGGATGCGATGCATGGGCAGGATGTAACGTAGCCATCGGTCGTGTTTGAATTCCTCTCGTTGAAATGAATGTAGAGGAAAGAAGTGGTGTCGACAGTTGTGACCAGTTGACATGTGTGTTGACATCATGCCGTGCGAGGAAGGGGGTATTGGTGCCGATTAGGTATACAGCGTCTCCATTCGGCGCGGTGGATGGTGAAGAGGAAGCATCCGTGTGATGATTCGGCTAACACTTCTTCCCTTTCTTTCCTTTCTCCATTCTTTGCATCCTACGATCACGATACACCACCAGGGTGTGCTCCGATACCCCATAAACCCCCTCATCTCCCACCGACGCAGACAACGAACAAATTACCAGCCCTGTCCGTTCGCTGGGAAGGTGGCAGACCGGTCGTATGGCTATTCTTGCGGCGGGTCGTCTTCATTTGCTGAGGTATAGTTGGTTGTGAGTGTATCGTAGTAGCGGCGGTTGAATAAGGGGAAATAGAGGTCCAAATCTAGTACATGCGTTGAATCTCAGCTTGGGATTCGTCGCCTGTCTGCAAGTCAGCAAGAGAGAGTATGAAGGTAAAAGAAGCGTACCATAATGGTCGAGGGTTTGGTTTTGTCCCAGCTCCGGTTCTGTGGTACATAGCCTGTACGAGTGCATATCGTTGAGTAGAGGCGGTAGACGAACGAGAGATGAAGTCGAGATGGTGTACGTGAGTAGAATCGCGGCTTGGGGCTTCGTTTTCTGTCTGTGGGTTCCAATTCCTTAGCAGGGGAGGGAAAGGAGAGAATGGGGGGAGATGAGGCGTACCATCTACACTGGTTCATCCATTGCTCCACAGGATCAAGAAATTGAATCTGTGTTTTGTTTTGTGGTATGTGTCGTTGAGGCTCTCCTATACATTGTCTGGGTCCATGTGGTCCTGGTTCAAGAGATATTTGGTGTTTGAAGGTATGGCGTTAAGCGTACGTGGTGTCGATGAAGAAGCGGAAGGCTTAGTGAAAGAAGGGGAAAGCGTACCCGAGAAAACGTTCGTCGACGCGGAAAAAATTATGGATAGGGTTAGGGTTGGCATGCCGTTCGGCGTTCTAGGTCCGATTTATCATGGATGCCTTCGTAAGTACCACGATGTCGATGCCTGGTTTTTTTCTTTACTGGATGAGGTAAGTTGCGTTGTTCGAAGGTTGCTCGAAACTTATATTACCAGAAATATCGACCTAGGACTTGCCTAGCACAACCCTTTAATTCCCTGATAGTAAGTCGGTCACGTAGTATGTGCCTGTCAGCCTCGATGCATATCGACGTCCGCACGGAAGCTCGACTCCCAGCCGGGTAGATAATAGAAGAGCTTTGTTGTGTTTTTCCTGGTTCTTTGCCACGATATACCGTTTTTCTATCTCACTAATGGTCGATTCCGTATTCTTGGTAGCGGACATTGTCCGGGTGTACAATGTTTTTACTTGGTATCACATCAGGCACATGCGACTAGTTTCGAAGTATGTTGGCTACCACTCCACATACATTCGATTCACAAGTCGGTGAGGTGAACTTTCTCGTACTTTTATCTCCGAGCACGATACAAGTTGAAATTCGATTATTATGCACACAGATCGCTGGTGGCACATCGTTCCCTTAAACTGAGCTGGGTTTCTAGCCAGAGACTAGTAAAGATAGAGGTGATTGCGTTTGCTGGTCCCCATCCATGCATACTGCATGTCGGCAGCTCTGGTTCCTGGTTTTTCTCCCCTTGACGAATCCTCAAATCATACTAGTGAAATGGAGACGAACTAGAGATACCGATACCTATCCTCAATGAGATCCTCGGTGGTAAATCAGTACAATACACGCGCCGTTCTGGGTTCGACTCTAAGAATTGACAACAAGCACAATCTGTGACAAACTAATCATGAGATCACCCCCAGTTCGCATTCCCCAGCCATGTGGATCGCACGTAATAAGATCTTTGATGATATTTCACGTTTTAACCAGTCCGAGTTAGTATGTTTCTTCTCTTCTTCATTTCCCGTGCACGTAGTTTCTCGGTAGTAAGCTCATGCCTGCTATCACCTCATTTCTGATCCTATTTTTTGACATCCAATTCTATGAACAGCATCTCCACTACCATGCCAAACCTCATCACGCTAGCCGTCAACATCAAAGTTCCCATATTCGATGAGAACCACAAGGGTTCGAGCTTTGACGATCTGTCTGTTGGAGAGGTTATATTGCACAGCAACTAAAAGATCTTTGGTAAAACGATTTGACAATTTCAGGAGGATTATCGAGCTTTCGATGAGCTAGTTATGGGAATAATCCGTTATTTCGTCGTCGACGGTCGGCCTACCTGAAACTCGGGCATCTCACTTGACCAGAATTCGATGTGTATTTTTTTCGGAGACACCATTTGGAAGGGTTGGCAGTACAGGTTACGTATTCAGCCCCTGTTTATTAAGGGACCATCATAGAACTACTTGGGTACGGCGTATAATAATAGTGTTCGGCTTCATGACTTGCGTTCCGTGGTGCTACGCCAAACACAAACTCTGCGTTCACGTACCAACATGAATTTCTCACGTATGTGTTTAAGGTGCCGGTCACTATCGCCAAACACCCCAGGTACTGTTTCGGAGTGGTTACGCTCAGCTGAGTTGATGGGCGCGGTGTGAGTTCAGTGCTCATCTCAACGAAACATCAACAATTTTCCTCTTTGATCGTCCGTTAGCGATGGCTAGAGTTGCGTAGCTCCTCAAAGATTCGTGATGAGTCCAATGATGCGTATGAATATGGCCAACTCATCTTGGGAAAGATACAAGTCCTGGCGCGATAATTTGTTTCGGGTTACATACTGTATTCGGCAGCTGTCGTAAGGGTCAGAGGATGCGCGGTATATGTATCATGGCAAGCGACACACCACAGCCATTTCAAGGTCGCAGCTCACAGTACCAACAAAGATGTCAAGTAACCATCAAGATTGCAAGTATCAAAGGCTATAAGAGTCCACGTCCAAGGTAATGGACTCCCCACAATTCACAGCGAACCACCATGTCATTTGTCGGGTCCTCATCGATATCCATTGCTGGCGATGCAGTCAATGTCGTTCACGGTGACCAAGTAAACAACACCTTCGTTGTTCGGAAAACAAGGAAAAGAATTAAGAAGGAATCGACGCTTTATGACGAGGTGGTGTTTATATTTTGGTTAAGAATTCACATCTAATCTAACTGTTTACTTTGAATCACTAGTTCCGAAATGTTCGACTGGGGGACATTTATAGGATACGCGAAGTCGGGCAGAGCACTTTCTATATACACCATAAGGATACAGGTACTAGTGTGGAAGTGCACCAATCAGTATCGATAGCAAAGATTCAAGATACGGATGCCTCTTCCAAATATACGGTAGTCTCATATCGGGGGCCCGATGCACATCTTGTGAGTGGCCAGTCCATGGCTAAGTCAACAGACACATGTTCATGGTTTCGAAGGGATGGAATTCAGCGTTTCAAAATCTAGCTCTAGCGCAGTACGCTGTCACTATGGTTCAAATAGCAGATACTTGACAAAAACAACAGAAATTCATCTTTCACACAACTCTTCGGCATAAATCGATCCCAGGTTCCATCACTTTTGTTTCATGGTGGTGAGCGACATGAGGATACGGGAGATGGGCAAACTGACACCACCACAGAGCTAGTACCCTTGGCTAGTGCACTCTCCCCGTCTGCAACTTCAATTTGGACGTGGATGGCCATTTGCGCTTGGGCCACGCGCGGTAACGACCGTAGATCATTTTGGATAGATACATCCAATGGTCAAATTTGCAATGGTCCTATCCATACACAACCATTTGCAGACAAGATAAAACATTCTATTGGTTCTCTGCATGCTGTATCTCCGCCGCGATCGGCTAAATTTCTCAAGGAAGATGTCGCATTCAATTTTTTTAGCACATTGGATGATAACCCACACCAGGATCGTCTTGTTCTTCAACATCTTGAGGCCCACAGAAAGAACCCGGAGAATGTCATATATTATACTAGGTTGGACAACCTGAAAAGTGGGGATTCTCTCAGGTTACTTCCATTTGTTGTCTACACATCATCTTTACGGCCGATTACAATGGTTCCGCGCGAGGAAATAAACTTTTCACAAGGTGGAGCAGGCCAATGGATAACTATCGATAGCTCTAGCATGCCGTACATTGATGACGTTGGTGGAAAGGACTATATTCGGTAAGGCCATGACACATTCGCCACATGATAGGCACTAAAAGAGTTTAGATTTCAGCTAACGGACCTGGGATATCAGGGGCTATTGCGCGGTGGAATGATCCAATTATACTGCTATCTTTGGTTCAGAATGTCCTGCACAATCTTTGCTAAAGCTCTTGTAGCGCAGAGTCCTACCATCTTTGCACGAGCGGGCATATCTGGCATGGAGCGAGAGCAATGCTGTAGGTGGATTGGCGCCTGTAGCAGAAAAGCACTGATGTCCTCACATTAGTTTTCACATGTTACTGTATACGAAACTACCATGGCCCGTTGTCTGGTGTATGTCATATAAGGCTCAAACGGAATAACACGAGCATTGTCTCCAATGCAAAGACATCGATTTCACGCCTCGACAAGTCAGTCTACCTCGTTGTACCTAAACCGCCACAAATACCGTGCACGGCAGATTTTCCAGAACGGTTGAAGGATTGGACCATGGGTTTTCCAATCTACTGGTCTTTCAATGTTGAACCGATGGGAGAAGCTGAAAGGGAGCACCTGAACTTACCCCAACCATTGCTGGAAATGACTGCACCACAAAAAAACTACTGGAAAAATGAGGTGTACGACGCAGCTGCCGAGTATCAGAAGGTCAAAGGATACCATTGCGAAACTTTCCCAAAGGAATTCGAATTGCCTATCCTCGAAGTTATAAATAGGGCCCGTGATTCAGTTCTAGAACACTGTGTCAGTGTCACAGTCGTCGAAGGTATGTCAACGGTTTATGCACGATACCAGAACTCATCCTTCTCAACGTGTTTTTGAAGAAGGGGCCGCGTAGGGTTTTTGCCATTGACCAACCGAGTTTGGATGCAGGGAGCCATGTTGGAACTCATGTTGGCTTTAATACGACAAGAGTGACCTGTGTAATATTTATTTTTTATTGACCTGTCCGATGACCGGTACCGGATCCTAACACGATGGGATGATCACACTGTTCTTTTGTAGTAATGGATCAATATGTCAGAATGGCAAGTACGAATGCCTCCAGAGTGACACATCGCTGTGACAGAAGACACGGGTTTGTTCACAATGCGGAACGTATGCAAGGGCTGGAAATGAATCGCAACACATAACCTTTCTCAGAAAATGGACTGTTGTGGAAGACAAGCTTCGCCATTCCCTAATCTGCAGATTAGGAAAACGACAAAAAAGTTTCGATGTTATTCCAACTAGTCGCCACCGTAAAACTGATGGAGTTTGATGCTCTGGATTGTGAACATGGAAAGCTCTGAGTTCCGTATACAGGAGTTAACGTATAAAGTGATAGGTACCGGAAAACAGTGAAGTTAAGACAAGAGAGACAAGCGCCCAGGTGTCTCACCAATCAGCGTGACTGTCCTTTGCTCAGAACACTCAACCGCGACGAACTTCTGCAACTTACTCAAACGATCACCGGAAACTTTTTATCTTTGCTAAATGGAACTCAATCGTCCGCATAAAGACTATCTGGCCTGAATTACAACGAGAAAAACCTGCGAAGCGATGGATGTCTGAGTTGGGATCACTCCGTCACGAGTGGACAAGCAACATCGACTGGGTCAAAGCGTTGCACTGAACCGGACACCTTCTCAAACCAGACTATACATTGTACCCGAAGATTCCAATCCACAAAATGGAAGTGAATAAAGCCGTGACGTGAAATACTTTGATACCGTACCGATAACATATCAAGATTCGCCAAAAAATGGCAGGCCCGTTACACCGGGGATTCTCACCGCCAATTCGAGCTGCCCCAACCTCTCCACATCTACAGTAAAATCTGCCCAGTAAGTGAGAGGTCCTGCATGAATTGATTCCAATCCATGACGGGATCTCGATTCGACCATTTCCTCGAAAACACCCCTTTCCCAACCTTTCATTACGATAAGTGTAAGCTCGCGGAGCTGCGGGAGCAAGATATCCACGCTGTCCGAATTAACGGATAAAGCGTTGACCACCTCCGTTGAGATAAGCTGGCGCCTCTCGGAGTCAGTAAGCGGCGTTGCCTCGTGAATTGTCAACTGTTCAATCTCTCTCATCATCTCTGCCTCCAGAACATGTAGAAGGTCCAGTGTGGAACAGGGTACGCCACTCAAACGGAGAGACCGCAATCTGAACTTGGATCGAGCGAAAAAGTCCTGGATGCAAGAAAACAGCGACGTTTCTGTGCTCGGCCTGTTACAAATATAGTCTTTTGATTCCAGGGTAAATGAAACCAACGATGGAGCAATTAATGAACCCAGAATGTTCGACAAGTGTGGACCAACGTCTGAGATGCGCTCCGTACACCTCATGATGCATCTTATAGAGAGCGTGTGGATTGATGGGAGGATCATGATGGGGATATTCGTGCTCCGAACGTCTACTTTGTTCCTGTGAATATAAATGCGGAGTTCCATCGATTCGAGGGATGAGCCACAAGCCCTAATTGCCTCAAGAATCGTGTCGGCTCTATATCCAGAAACTGTTAAATGACGCAATCCTTTGAAAGACGTGAACGATCTGTACCACGAGGCCTCGTAACCCGCATAATTGATAAAAGAACGTAGGTTGGGAGCTCTTCCGCGAAGAAATTCGAGAAGGTTAAGAGGTGCTCCGTCCCGTGTGGTACTAGCCACACTGTTCGTGAACGCAATGAGATTTGTGAGCTTCAACGTTTCTAGAAGAGGAATAAATCCAGCCATCCCGGTGGCGGTCCCATGAATAGTGAGTGAAGACCAGCGAAACGACTGCTCAAAGAGGGGTTTGAGGAACTTTTTGTACGTCTTTCGATCATAGGCGTTCTGCGGACGATCGCCATTGATCTCGAAGGTGAGAGTCAATGGGACTGTTCCTGACCTCTCAAGGTGTAGAAGCGCTTGCCTGACGGCACCTTTTGCAAAGTGTCCATCAAATTCGAAGTCCAAGTTGGACCACAGCTGCGGTGTGGCAAGGCATACTTGGCGCCAGTGAAAACACACTCGGCTAATGGCGCATGCGGACCAATCGAATTCATGTCCACGTGGATGTGGATGCAGAAAGGTAGGGGAGACGGCGAGAACGAGGATCATGGAGAGGAGTTCTGGGAGAAGCTTTCTGATGGGTGCAAATAGTGAGGAGCATTTGGAGCGAGTGTTTTCACTCTGCGTTCGTTTCGAAAGGTCTCGTACGAATGCTTGGTTGTCTGGAGAGAGTTCTCTGCCCAAATGAAGAAGATCTGTGAGGTATGGTTCGATATCTTCGTCGCTGAGGTTTCCATCTAGAGGAATCGTCGCCTGCAGAGTTGGAGAAACCGATGTGGATACCGCATCGCCGTCCTCTGTACAAAGCTCTCGACCCAAACGAAGGAGATCAGCGAGGTGCCGTTCGGTGTGGTCTTCACTAGTGTTACTGTTTGGAAGTGAGAAATTCTGAGCTGCACGATGGTGGGGAAAGGTTTCACCGTAGTAGGCTCATGAGGGAAGGTGATGGATCGAGTCAAAGGTTGCTCGGAGTCGTGACGCATTGAACGTGTGCTATTGGACATGTGTTTCATTATGGATCTCGCTTCCGAGTCCATAGAAGGAGATTTCTTACGGTTCTATTTACGTAAGGACTTTATCCAAAGTTCACTGTTCAATGCCTCATTATACTCGGAGGGACGACCAAACCGAGAGTTCTATTTGCTTCACTAGTGTGTACTATATGAAGATATACAAACCTGCTTGGCCGCGATGGCAATAGGTTGATTTCCTAGTGCATTCGACGCGGTATCTATGACACCATGTGATACCCCTAACAATTCCGTCTTTGTATGCACAACTCTCACTGCAAGACCATTATTCTGCATTCAGTCAGAGCTTAGCCATTGTGAATCTCGATATACGCGGATCGTAGTAATATTTCCCGGAGAGCACCGTTCTTTGATGTATATCGACCTGACACTACCCGCAAGTCTCTGAGTTTCGATACGATCAACACGCTCTAATCCGTCATCATCCTACAGCCAATGCCCTCTCGCCAACCCCTAGAGTGACGAGTTTCGGCATGGTCCTCGAATGGAAAACTGACGAAACCGAAAGAAATGATACGGGGACAAAGGTGGCTAATCCTTGTACAACTCAGAACGAACGGCTATTCATACTAAGCACACCTTCTGACAAGTTGATGGGAACCAGCTAGTTGCTAAAATCTCATTGATCTATGTAAAAAAAAAAAAAGAATTAAAAAAATATACAAAATCTTGTAAAATCAACTTAAACAACAACTACCCCCCCCCCCCCCTTCTGACAAGTTGATGGGAACCAGCTAGTTGCTAAAATCTCATTGATCTATGTAAATGGACGACCATGCTAGAAGACACGCGCAAACGCGCTATGATTTCCTAGCTCAGCGGTAGAGCGTCGGATTCCAGTATCTGCGATTCTTCGTTGATATGAATCCCGAAGGTCATCCGTTCGATCCGGGTGGAGATCAGATGAACTGGCATTTTGAACTCTGATTTTTCTTTGCTCTCTGCCATCGTGCGTCTAACAGCTGAGAGGTGTTTATGCGACGAGGGGTTGATATTCCGGTGTCGGTGTCGGCGTGTGAAAGGGGAAGCTATAACTGATGGGAAACGAAGAGATCTCTTTACGTCGATATCGGTTATTAGACCTTCTTCGACCAGCTCCCGATCTCTCTTTTCCTCCATCTCCGTTTCCATACCGTTTAAACCTTCGACTCCCGTACCTTGCGTAGGCAGTGCATAACTCGGATGTAGCCTGGCCATCGCTCATGTGCGCGGTTGAATGTTAGGGTCGGCTCATATGAATATCCGCTGGACTATGGCGTGGAGAGGACAGGGAGTGTCGGAGGTCGCATTCAACAGTTCAGGAGTTGGGATGCGCACGTGTATATTGGTATTGGGACATGCGAGGAAGGGAAGGACGAGAAGAGCTGAGGTATTCTTGTCGAGGAGCCTGGAGGTATACAGCGCCGTAGATGGTGAAGAGGAAGGATCCGTCTGGTAGTTCGGCTAACAATCCTTTCCGTTCTTTCCTTCCTCTCCTATTCCTCGCTCTGGTCATGCTCCTACACCCCTTAAACCCCCTCATAGTAGTGGGAAGGGGGCGTAAAAGCTAGGAGTTCTTGTAGTCGTCTGACTAGTCTTCTGATGTTTTCTTCGCTTTCTGAGGTAGAGCTGTCGATGGAAGGGTTGTTGGGGTAGAGGCGATGGAAGAAGGGGAAATCAAGGGCCAAATCGCGTACGCGCGCTTGTGCTTCGTCTTCTGGGTACAAAGCCCAGGCATGTCAGCAGGAGAGTGTATGGAGGTAAAAGAAAAAGCGCACCATCTACACAGGTTTACCGTCTAAGTATGGCTCCGAATGGTCAAGGGTTTGGCTTTGGTTCGTACAGCTTGTCCAGGTGTATATCGTTCAAGTTCGGGCTGGGAGTCAGATGAAAGCAAGAAGGACATTCTTCTGGTGGTTTCTCTTCATTTGCTGAGGTAGAATTGAGGGGGTGTTGGGGTAGAGTCGGTGGAACGAGACGTAGAAGGCCAAATCGCGTTCATCGCCACTTAGGCTTCGACCCCTGTCTATGGGGTTCCGAGGCTTCAGCAGGGGAGAGGAAGGGAATGGGGGAAAATGAGACGTACCATCCACACAGTTCTACCATCTATTGCTCCAAAGAGTCGAAAAGTTGATCCTGTCTCTTGTTTTACGTGTCGTTGAGAACGACTTATAGCTCGCCTAGTCCTATGCCATCCGGGCACAAGAGATCTTTCGAGTTTGACGGTATAGCGTTACACGTACATGGTGTCGATGAAGGAGCGGAAGGCGTAGTGAAGGAAGGGGTACACCGCTGGTCACGCATTTGATTTGGCGAGTACATGCCGAAAGTTAATTGACGAGTACCTCGGCTGTACGGCACACGTACAGTCGACTGTACGTCCAGCGTACAGAATGCCAAGAAATTTTCGGAAACCAATGGATCTTAGCCCCCAGGGCAGGTCCCGCCCTGTTCTCTCTCTAAACAGCCATTCTGGAAGTAAAATATCCTATTTCGTTCCAAATCTGACGCGGGACGGGGCTGGGGACGTCGTTTTCACCGAGTTCTAAAATCTTAGCCGAAATGGTCACGTGCTGTCTGTACGCTGGACGTACAGTCAATGTATGGTTCAAGTAACTTTCGGCATGTATTTGTGGCATCAAAAGTGTGGCCGGCGGTGTAGTGAAGGAAGGGGAAAGCGTATCCGAGAAAGCGTTCATCGACGCGAGAAGAAAATGACTAGGGTTAGGGATGTTACGTCATTCGGCGTTCTAAGTCCGCATCATGGGGTTGCCTCGTACCACCATGTCGAAGCCTAGTGTTTTTCCTTCTCGAACTTTTAAATCACACTGGTGAAATAGAGGTGATCCAAAGGTACGTCTCATCTTTATCGTTCATACCTTACATACCCACACTCAACGAGATCTTTGATAATACATCAGTCCAATACATGCGCCATTGTTCCATACAATGTATTTCATAAACTGAGGCGTAACTGTCTGCCTATACCTATGCTCTATAGTTCGAGGGCTAGTTGTGATTTGGAGGTACGTATACGGTATCATTCCTTTGCTTGTTACTCGTATGCCTGACGCATGTGCGCACTTTTACATTACTGAGGTATTCGACTAGTAGATCCCGAGAGGCTTTGTATACTATGTATCAACAAAACGCGCTTTCGAGGTATGTTATCCAACGTTGGGATCTGATCATGCAACTCATCGCCCTTCAATTTGATACAGTATTATTTCACGTTTCACGAAACGTACCAGAATCTACCAGCATCTACGAGGCTCGCAATTTCTTGGTATGTGGTAAGTACATAGCTCCGATCAATCTCAACACACAGTATCATTACCAGTGCGGGGTCACAACGCCGGGTTCGACTTCACACAGTCAAGGAATAAACACGGTCCGAGTCTGATCAATTTTCGCCGTTATTCCTGCCGAGCACTTCATTTGCAATCCAGAAAACCTATAGTTCATTCATTGACTCCGAATTGAAGGCTTTATCGCCAATGCCAACTGGATGGATTGATACGGGATCTACCTCGAGCACGCCGAGCTTGGTCACAACGTGTTCCAAGATCCTGGAGGCAACACCGCTTTGATTTTCAAATTACCCGTATTCCGCTTGATCTTAATAGCCAACCTTCGAATGCGCGCGCAGTGCTCAAGAGGCATGATACTCCCACACCTATTGACCCTTGCGTTTCATCCAGCGCTCAAATTGCTGACTCGTATCCTGCTGGGGAGTATAAGTACGACAATGTAGCTCCAGAATGCACCATCTTCAATTCTTCATCATCCACAGTCATGCAACTCAAACTCTCCTCCTTCACCGTCGGTCTCTACCTCTTGGTCTCAGCCGTCAACGCACGCCACTGTGTGAACAGCGAGGGTTGGGGTGCTGCGTATGCTGTCTCTCAAGACCTCGGTGGTCGATGTAAGTTCCATTCTTCATTCATATTTTCAGCATGTCGTTGACACGGTGAACGTTATATAGGGATCGTCTACGACGGAATGTGTCGTGAAGTTGAGACTGTAACAGGAAACGCGTGTCATTCGAGATTCGCGTGTTCACCGCCACCTGTGAGGTTTGAGAGGTATAATTTGAGAGGATCGGGGACGATGTGGGTTTTGTTTTTGTTGTCTTTTCGGTGCGCTTTCAGATGTATTGATGTGTGGTTCCAGGTACAACTGCTACCGAAACCCAAGCCGTGAGACGTGTAATGGGAATGTCCTTGTCGATTGCGTGAGTTGTTTGATCTTTGGTAGTCATTGATGAACGCTGATTTGGTTTGTGAAAGTGTGAATGGTCGGGTTGAGAGCGGTTGATTTGAAAGGTGTTTTGGATGGTGTAGTCTTTGAATTCAATATAGGAAAGATGTGATATGCATTTTTGAACATGTTGAACGTGAACATATCTATCCACGCGTAACGCTGAACAAGCGAGACTTCAGCGCAACATTCGTACATATCGAAAATTTGCAGATCTGGCTCCTGGTCGTTTCCCCTTGAGATCGAACTCTTAAATAACGCTAGTGAAATGGAGACGGTCCAGCGGTACGACCTCGCATACCTATAGTCAACAAGATCCTTGATAGTACATCAGTTCAATACACGCGTCATTATTCAATATAACCTTCGCGTGAGCTCGTCTTTGACACTTTGACACCTCATATCAGTGAATCACCCCATCACTTCAGCATATGTCACTCGTACTCAATTCGCCTATATAATTTGGAGCCGAACAGAAACGTCAACGGGTGACACCGTGACAAACTCTTCTTGAATTTGAACCATCACGACCACCTCACATGGCACAGAACCATCAACTGTACGGTCGCGATTCCGCTGAATCTAGTTCCATAGGTAGCTGTCGTCGCTCGTTTTGATCTCTGGTTACTCACTAATTCCGACAGATCACCTCATATCTCCGGATTCTGACACTTCTCCCTTCATTAATTCGCTAGCCCCAGAGATTCTATCACAAGTCTTCCTGCTCACTGACGTTCAGAATCTCCATCATCTTCCCTCACAGACACGAATATTTCCTCTCAAGTTCGGGAGATCTGCTGAGCGCTGCGCGTTCACAGGTTCTCATCTTGGCAGTGTATGTCGCTATTGGAGGAATGTTTCGTTGAGCACGCCGGCTCTTTGGTCGTCGTATCCTAGTCGAGATCTCCTCATCCGACTATCCATCCGCAGTCCTGGAACGCCTGGAGGAACATCTTGAACGATCCCAACACTCACCACTTTCCATCGCACTCCTGCTGTCCCATCGCACATTCAATTTCGAGAGATGTCTCGAGTTCATGTGTCAGTCACATGAGCTGGATTTTGGTGATGTGCCGGATATTTTCCGACTCATGAAATCCATTTTCTCTCATGCCGAACGCATCCAAGATCTCTCCCTAGAAGCCTCAGAGGTTGATATCCTCACCGGTTTCGCATCCATGTTCATGCCACACTTCCGGGATCATTTTGTGAATTTGAATCACCTCGTGGTTGCTGTTCATCCCTACGATGACGTCCCTGATATCCTTATCAAGGCCTTCTCCGCGTCACCGTTGCGTGGTATCGAGATTTACAGTCCCGGTGATAGGTACTGCCTCCAGAGGTTGCCTTATGCCAATCTCACCGATATTGCCATTAGCACGACCGACGTACTCGTTGCTACCAAGATTGTATCCGACTTCCCATCGCTTCGGCGTGCCAAGTTCGCTCTACGACCAAAGAAGCTCCCAGAGAGTATTTCGCTGCACTCACTCACGCATATGCATAGTTTGGATATCACAGTCCAACCCTGGAACTATTCAGATGACAGCTACTCCGATTTCATCAACCTCCTCACTTGCCCTGCTTTGACCTATCTAGCACTTGGGTTGTCCGAATACAGTGATGGTCCCATTCCGGTATCGGGAACATTCCCGCAGGCGGT